TTGAAGATGGGAAGCTCGAGTTGCGGAGGCGACGGGGAGATGGGCAAGGGTGCGTGGGGTGGCAAACCGGGCGAGGGAGGCGGGGGACGGAAGGAAAGCGTGTCGTCGACGGGCGAGTTCCCGCTCGAGGCTGACAGTATAGCCTGCAGCTCATTCGGTATGTCCGAGTCGGGATCAGACGCGTCGAGTTCCTGGTCCTCGTACGCCGATACGTCGGAGCCACCCATCGTCCCACCCATTCCGAGAACACGCTTGGTCTCCCGCGCAAGAGGCATTCCATGCGCGCTGCCCCTGCTGCTCCGTGGCGAGGGCGCAGCGTCAGGAAGCAGCGATGACCTGTTCCTCGCATGCCCGCGATGAAACACTGGCGGCAGGGCACGGGCACGGAGAATCTGCGCCTCTTCGACCGAGCTCGACGAGGAGCGCGAGCCGAACGTCAGTGACGAAGGCGCGCGCATAGCGACCTCCACAGCCTCCTTCGACGAGGGCGGGGGTGATGCAGTGGCGGACGTGTTGATAGAGATGGGCGGGCGGATGCGCGAGGGACGAAGGCGCAGGGGCTGGAAGACCGGCGCCGGGTCGGGCTCTGGCGTCGGGGTCATTGTGCGACGGTGCATGCGCTTGAAGGTTGCGTCGTCGGGCACGGGTGCAATAGTCGGCGGTGATGCCTCACGTGAAGCCGTCGGCCAGGGCGCGATTTGCTGACCGAGGATTTCTGTGGGCGCAGTGGACGCTGCGCGCACCGCGTACGGGCGAAGAGAGCTGACAGAAGCGGCGCCAGGACGCAGCGTTTTGGACTTGCTCGGACTCTCCTGCCAGTCATTGCGCGGGACAATGGGACCTCTCGCGGGTGAAGGCGTCCCAGGCGTCGCCTCGAGGTTGAGATGAGTGATGAGTTGCGCGAGATCGTTGGTCGCAGCATCCAGGAGGGTTAGAACACCTGGAATATGACAATCAGAGTCTGAAATCAATGCACATTGAGGACCTTACCGTCAGCAGGAGTGTCTTCGATGATGCCGCGGGGACGAGACTTCTCCTTGCCTTGAACCATATCGTCAGAGACAGGGCAAAGCCGCGCGCGCTTGACGGGTGTCGCGGAAACCATCTCATAGTCCCCGTCTTCGTCCCCATGTCCGTGGCCGTCCGTCGTAGCCTCCTCGACAGTAAGCATCGGCGGGGTGTTCCCCTTCGCGCTCTCGGCTGCCGATGAGCGCCGCGACAATCCAGGAAAGACATCGCTCAAGGGTGTGCGTCTCCGGCCCTCGGACGAGCGCCGGCTCTCGCGCTCCGTCTTCTCTCGCTCCTTCTCCTTCTTCTCACTTTCTCGCTGCTCCTTGTCTTTGCGCTCTCGCCCACGCACGCGGTCCACCACCTCCTCCGCCCAACGTACGCTGCTGCCGCTGCTGACGCGCGACCCCGCCGAGCTCCCACTCGACAGCACGGAGAGCGGGCGCAGGCTCGAGTTTGTGCTCTCCCTGCGCGGATTCGCCGCTGCCTCCGCGCTCAGGCGATTCGGGTTCGTGCTCATCGGCGGCGCGTTTGGGTTGACATGGTACGCGCCGCCGACGCTGCTCGCAGTGCTGGCCTTCCCGTCTGCGGTCGCGCTGCGCCCAATGCTCAGCGCACTCGGAAGTCCCATCCCGAGACCCAAGATGCTGCGCTTGCGTTGTACAGGTGACGTGCCCAGCGCGCCGACCTCAAAGCTGCTCCCCGAGCTCTTGGGCGCGCGCTTTTTCTTCTCCTTCTTCTCCTTCTTCTCTTTCTTCTCCTCCTTGTCCTCCTTCACCTTCACCTTCACCTTCACCTTCGCCTTCTTCTTCCCGCGCACCGTCCCCTCGCCCTCCCCGTCCTCCTTCTCCCGCTCCTTCTCCTTCTCCTTCTCCTCCCGATCCCACGTCCCCAGGCGCGCCATACTCCGCACGCTACGCATCGCACGCAACGCAATCGACCCCTGGTCCTTCTCCTTGCCATTGCCGCCTATCATCCCCGGCGGCGCGAGAAGCCCCCCAGCAGTGGGCGTCCCCGATCTTGGCCCGGGTACAGGTGTCGGAGCACGCGACAGCGGTGTTGGCGTCGGCGCCCGTCCCAACGTCGACGCGGGCGTCGCAAGCAGAATTCCACTGCTCGCCAACGCGCTCGCACTCCGCTTGAATTCGCCATGGGGCGGCGCGTACTCAGCGGTGTCGGCGCGGTTATAGACGGCCATGGCGCTTGCGCTGCGCTGAAAGTCAGGCGGGTGCTCCGCGTGAAACTGGTGCTGGGAGTGCGGAGGGTGCTCGAGTTGCTGCGTCTCGAAATGCGAGTATCCGAACTTCTGGGGCGGGATGGACTTGGCACTGAGAGGCGGCTGGTACGTTTCCGCGCGCGTCATAGTCGCGTATGGGGCGGATGCGCCAGGTAGGTGTGCGTAGCGCTGCTGATTTGATTGCTGCTGCTGCGAGAGCAAGGCGGCGCTCCCCGCACTGATGCTGCGCTGGGCTTCCGGCCTTCCGTGGGGCTGGGAAGAAGGTGCAAGCGCGCTGGAAGCACCAAGAGAATTGAAGCGCTTCTGAGCGGGGAAAGGCTGTGTCGGTGCATGAGATTGGGGGAGGTCTGCGGGCGAGAGAGTCAGCGGACGTGGGTAGATAGTAAGATAAAATTGATAAATAAGAAATCGAAACAAGTCAAGAAACTGAAAGGAGTAGCAGCAGGGAGGACGAAGACGGGGGATGGAATCGTGGAATAATATGTACAGTCAGAGTCACGAAGTAATATATAAAGAGACGGACGCGAAACAGAAAAGAAAAGAAATCCTCGAAAGAAACCCCCAGCAAGAAAAATATCAATGTGGGAGAACTTCACGACGGCAACAACACAAAGCACTCTCACACAAAAAAAGCAAGAACGAAAACCCACCTCTCGTCACGCCGCGCCCGCGCACGCTCGGCACGTCGACCATGTCGAGCGTGCAGTCCGGCTCGCCGGGGAGGTGCATCTGCGCGTGTGGGTGTTGCGTTTGTGCGTGCTGCGTCTGCCGCTGCTTCTGCATCTGCATCTGCGCGAGGCGCTGCTGGAACTCGAGCGCTGGGGCGCTGTCAAGGGTTGGGGAGGGGCCGGGGGCTGCGAGGGAGAAGTAAGTAAAGGTGCGGAGAGGAGGACTAACGAAGCACGAGGAGGAAGTGAGGGGAAAGGAACACACAAAACGACACTCACACTTCCCCCGCCTGACGAACCCTAGCACGCCACCCTCCTTCTCCTTGCCTCCAGTGTCCTTCCGTCCCCGGAGCGTCCACCACTTGTCCTTCCCCTCCTTCTCCTTCGGTGCATTCTCGAATGCAGGCGTCGTCGGGCGGGCAGTCGAGCTGACGTTGACGTCGGTGTTGGTGACGTCCGCGAACACGCTGTCGACCCGCCCGCGCGTCTTGACCTTCTTCTTGATGAGCACCATGCCCTCTCCACCAGCGCCTTCATTGGCATCACCCGCACGCCACGTTCCATCACCCGCATCGACGCGCACCTCCCACCCGCGGCCAGTCACAGACCCCGTCCCGCCACCCACGCGCCGCACGATGTCGCTAAAGTCGGTCCCCCCGCGCGCGGTGTTGTACGGTGTCTGGCCCTGCATGGACGAGACCGAGCCCGCGAACAGCCCGCGCACGGAGCGCTTGTGGGCTGGCGCGCGTACGTCGACCTCCACTTCCATCTGCGACGAGTCGCCGGCATACGTCGCGGTCGAAACGTCCGGCGTCGGCACAATGAGCCGGATGCTGGGCACCGCCGTAGCCATCGCTTCTGTTGTTCAAGTATGGATTTTTCTGGGTTTATTGAATGCGAAGTAGTAGAATGAGATGAGATTGGTTTTTGATGGAGATTTCGGTAGATTTCTTGTTTCGACTGCGAGTGCTGAATGTCGTGTTGGGTCCCAAAGGGTCCCCGATGTCGTACTGTCGTAAAAACAGCCCAAAAGACGCGTTAATTCAGTGGATTTTCTTCTTCTAAATAGCCGTCCCCGCACTGGAATCAGCCAGATGAAAGAGAGGGTAGGAAGCCAGACGCACCTAGGGACAAACGAGAGAACTTTCCTTGGCTGGCCGAGGTGCGTTCTCTTGAGGAAACTGCACGAATGAGACCGGCGCTGGTCGTGGACGGAGGACAAGGCAAGTCGGCGTGGCTGTGTCGCCAAACCAAACCTCGTCACGTTTCAACCACGTGACATCGGCGCGTCGCGTTGTGCGATCTCGTCGGCAGACAGCTGCCAGGCGGTGATAGAGCTGGGTAGACGTGTTTTCTTCCGCATGAAGACCGCGGCCACAAAATAAAACAAAACAGGGAAGGAAAGGTTCCTTTTTGTACTTATGTTCAACACGATAACGGCTCAATGACTGCAAATTTCCCCCAAGTTGTTGTGGAACGTCGAGGCGCCCGAGTTTACTCATTGCTTCAAATTCGGAAACTGGTGAACCTTTGAACCCAACGCAAAAGTGCACAGGCTCCCTAGACTTGAACAAGACATAAATAGGGGCTTGATAGGAGAAAAGGAAGAGTTTCGCGATCGGAACCATGGCGCAGATGGAAGTGCGCGACCTGGGCCTCAAAAATCCGAATCCGATCAAACCTCCAATGTCTCCCTCAATCTTCCTTATCTCTCTTTACACATGGTGTAGAAAATTAGGCAAGGCTATCTCATCCTCCATCCAGGTCAGGTCCTCCATCGGATTTACAATTTTTTTTCCTAGGGGAAACATTTTTGAGATCATTTCGATCGATAAGGTCGATCAAACTTCCGCTCGTCGAAACGTCGTTCCCCCTTCGATTCGTCCTGTTTCAAATTTCCATCTCAGCAGTGTACATGCTCCAGTCAGAGGAGGGAAGCTTACCATCGGCCATGAATTCCTTTTGTAGACCAAGGAGAAAAACGAGTTAAAACGAGTTCAAAACATCTCCGATCATCTTCGATCAAACTTCCAGCCCTTGAAACGCGTTTTCTCCATCGTTTCGACCTCCTTCCCTTCTTCTACAACAGCAGCATGGCGCAGATGGAAGCGCGCGGGGCCCATATCTTACGTAATCACCCGCTTATAAGGACCAACCCCGAGGTCACTCGATCGAAACGAGTTGCTGCTATGTCCGCTTTTTGGTTTCGTCTGGGCGGTTTTTTTTTTTTTTGCCGCCGCGTATTGAATTTCTTTCGTCCTCCTGCAGGAACCCCCTGACATTATTGAGGCAACTACCTCCGAAGAGCGACGGATCACTTGCGGTTTCATTATTACACATCCTCGAATTCTGCCTGAATACAACTTCAAAACAAACCGATGAACACAGAGACCTGGGCCGTGAGATCCCAGTGTTGAGTCGGTGACAGCTAACAGTGAGTATCCCAGTACAGGAGTTGTAGCTTTTTTTAAAAAAAATGAAGGAAACCGTGACCCCCACCGGAGCCGCAAAACCGTCAGAAGAATTGGAAGTGAACAGAATTCAACTTGTTCAAGAGATTCCGGCAGTTGGGTCCGTTGCAGAAATCTCTCCAAGCGGACGACTGTAGGGAATTTGTCGAGGCAGTACTTGTCAGGTTCAACTGGCAACCGCGTAGAGTTGGCTTTCTTCAAGTTTGAATTATTATTGCACTTTTGGATAAGGATTATCACTGTGGTTTTAGTGGCTGACTGGCTCTGATATAGCCGACAACGCGTCTTTACGGCTGAGGGGGCCGTATGAACATGTACCCTTTCGTTCTGGGCGGTCTTTATTTCTTAATATGGTTTTTGAACGTAGTTCACGTGACTTTTTTTTGAGGTCGCGCCCTTCCACCTGCGCCATGCTGCTGGCTTTATATCGGATTTTCTGTTTTCTCATATTAGCATGGGAGAAAATATTCCGGGTATCTTGACGAGAATTTTTGGAAGTGAGTCAGACGAGGCAGTTGTCTGGGGCCACGGCGTATCGAAAGACAGAAAATATTAAGAGGTGAAGGAGGGATACTGCGTGGCTAAAGGAAGAACGGCAGGAATTAACTACCAGTGATGTCGAAACAAATCTTACATGACGTCTAGAATCTGCAACTTGCTGTCAGTACTCTCCTTCGTAAAATTCTGGCATACACACACACACCGTGTTTATCTGTCACGGCATGATCTACGGCCACTGCAGGTGTATCTACTCCAAGTGCTCCGCCGCCTTCAGGGTGATCCTTTTAGCGAAAGATAGCTGCTTGTGGTAGTAATCCAACCAGGTTTTTGATAACATCGACGGGGTCAGGTGTGAAGCGTGCCTCCGAGATTTGCAGATAGCACAGATGAGGAAGGGTCAGTCGATCCAGAAATTGCATCTGGGACGTCGGGTCGGTTTGACCATGAGGGCGAGAAAGTTCCAGGATGACCAAATGTTTGAGCGGCGGAATATCAGGAAGGCTACCCAGGGCTTGGTCGTCTGCAGAGTATAAACTTTCAGCTTTGAAAACGTGAGATTCACCAGAGCACATAAGATCTCGGCAAGCTCTCGCGTGAACTTGAGCGCCTCTGATTGTAAGGAAGGAAATCTCCCATCGGAAAGCAAACACTTGGAGATTGAATCCCCGCACAATGATCAACTCCTTCAATTTCGGCGCATAGTGGAATATCGTCAACGGCATGAGCTGCTCCGTGTCCTCGCGCGGATCAGTGAAACCAGCGACCAAATATTTGAGTGAAGTAAATTCGCCCTGCATCAGACGAATGTCGTGCGGCGGTAGAAGGAAGCTCATAGATTCCCAACGAGCAGAATGAGGCACAAGTGCCTCAACAAATTTGTGCGCGGAGAAGGTCGGCTGCTGGTGGTGAGACTGATATTTGATGGATATTTGGATGGTCAAGGAGCAAGCCCGTGAGCGAGTCAGTTAGAGTTGCAGGAGACAAATTTGCTGGCTGCCGTGCGATGCGACGTCGTCGAGGTCCATGACCACCAACTTCCACAGTGAATGGGGTAGAAATGGCGATGGCACGCCACTCACGGCAGATGTGGCCTAGAAACAATGGAGACGTGGGGCTCGAGAAGAGGGCATCATTTGAATCCACCCTGTTCTGGAAAATTTCCGAAATAACTTCGTTGGGCAAGGTGAGGACGGGGTAAACAATAGCGTCTAGCTGAATTTGTAAAGTCATCCGCTCGAGTTTGAGAGCACCGATAGAGTTTTCGAGAGCGGCTATCTGCGAATCTAGTGCCTCTAGACGGTCACGGGCGACCCCGGGTGCAAAAACTAGTGGCACGGCCGTTGACTGAATGACTAGCCGGTTGACTGTTGGATCTATCAAGCTGCGACTCTGCGAGTCAATTCGTTGTGATTGGTTCCACTCGTTTTCCGCATGAGTATGAAAGTCGCATGTCCTGAGGACACTTCATACTAAAGCTTCCCCTCCCGACGAGTCGGATAGTCGTATCAACTGGCTGCTATTGACAAGGGCTAGTGGAGGGTGAAGATGCACGTGCGATTGATGTAATCAATGTCATCAGTGATCAGAACATGCCGACAATGCCGATTGAATGCCGAGGTTCAGTTTGACGAGGGAAAAAAATCACGGTGCGATTGTCAAAACCTGTCCCACAGCAAACTTTCCGGAAGCAGTTGCTCTCAACTTTGCGATCTCATGTCACTCTCAGGTTTTCCGTTCGAAAATGGGAGAGGCAAAAGTTACAGTCACACATAAAAATGAACCCGGAAATCAATATTAATCAATCTTGATGGTGGGCCACGGTTCCTTGAGGTTCTTTTTCAACAATTGGCTGATATTCGCAGCGGAATATCTCGAGCTTGAACTTGGACGCAGTGCCGACCAAAACGCGTCGTGCTGAGTCAGCACCGTATCGTAATACTTCTGGCACCAGCTCCCCTTGCCGATGGGACACCGAATGAACGCGCATAGAGTATGCCGACTGACAGATATTCACCACAATATTCTGTGCTTCGTCCTTCACCTCGCACATGTCTCCCACCGAGTCTGCGGAAAGGACGCCCACTCAAAAACGGGGGATCTTCTCCCGCAAACCCAAACGCGCCACGGACGCCGACTCGCTCTCAGAGGTCGCACTGGTCAAACCTGACGAAGAATTGATCCCCCCCGTTTCCTTCTCGCAGTTGTTCAGATTTTCCACCAGGTTTGAGTTGCTGCTCGATGGAATCGGGGTGGTCGCTGGTGCTGCTGCCGGCGCTGCTCAGGTCGGTTTTATCACACGAAACTCGCACCGCCGATACCTCATATTCCACACAGCCACTCATGACCGTTCTTTTTGGAAACCTGGTGAACCAGTTTGTCGACCTGCAGACCGTGTTGAACCAGATGGACAACATGGATGCAGACGCTGCGGCGAGGTTCCCTACGGTGGCTAGGAATTTTCGGCACGAGGCCAGTCGTCTTGCAACCTATCTCGTTGCTATCGGTGTGTCCAGCTCCCTTGTGCGACGCGCTGATCTCATTCCAGTTAGGCTGCGGCATGTTCCTTTGCACCTACATATACATGTGCGTGGGCCCCGCTACATATTTTTTCAAGTGTTGACTATCTTTCAGGTGCGTCTTCGTGTATACGGCCGAGGTGAACGCAAAACGCATTCGGGAACGGTACCTCAAGGTGCAGTCGATTTGATCATCCGTAAACTTTGCGTTGACATATTTTACAGGCGGTTCTGCGCCAAGATGTCCAGTTCTTTGACAAAGTTGGAGCGGGAGAGGTCGCAACGCGGATCCAAACCGACACCGGTGCGTGAAGCATTTAATTCCACACGGCCTCCATTCACGCGTCGACTTTCCAGATCTGGTGCAGCAAGGCATCTCAGAGAAAGTACCGCTGCTTGTCAGCTTCATCTCCAGCTTCTTGTCGGGTTTCGTCGTCGCGTTTGTCCGCTCCTGGCGGCTCGCGCTGGCCATGTGCGCGATCTTTCCCTGCATCGCAATCATAGGCACTGTCATGAACACATTCATGACGCGCTACATGCAGTAAGGGGATTCAGCTCACTCGCCGGGGCCGGAACTGAATTAATTTAGAATCTCCCTCAAGAGCATCGCTAAGAGCGGGAGCCTGGCGGAGGAGGTCTTTTCCACCATACGGACGGCACAGGCTTTCGGGACGCAGAAAATGCTGTCGAGGTTGTATGATCGGTCAGTCCTCATCTCGACCTTGATGTCGCGCTCACAATATACAATAGCCACATCGCCGGGGCACATCAGGCGGACCTGAAGACCGCCACTTTGCAGGGCCTCACACTCCCTATTTTCTTCTTCATTACATATAATGCCTACGCGCTGGGTAGGCATTATGTTATAAACCTTACTCGCTTGCTTATCGTTTCCCTTCCAGCATTTAGCTTCGGAACTACGCTCATTAATTCTGGCCATGCAACCCCCGGCTCCGTTATCAGTGTGTTCATGGCCATCCTCATCGGCTCCATGTCGTTGGCGCAGATTGTGTCCGAGATGGAAGGTGAGCACAGAACTCAGTTCAATTTGCATGCACTGACTGACCTTTCTAAAAATTCGACAGCTATCAACCACGGATGCGGTGCCGCGGCAAAACTCTTCGCCACCATCGACCGGGTGCCCGAGATCGATTCCGCCGACGAGGGCGGGCTCAAGCCGGAGCATGTCATGGGGGAGCTCGTCCTCGACGGCGTGTTCTTCAGCTACCCGTCGCGGCCCACTGTCCCCGTGGTGAAGGGCCTGTCGCTCAGATTCCCGGCAGGCAAGACTGCCGCCCTCGTCGGCGCCTCGGGCTCCGGTAAATCGACCATCATCGCCCTGGTCGAACGGTTTTACGACCCGACGGCTGGCGCGGTTATGCTCGACGGCGTCAACGTCAAGGACCTGAACCTCAAGTGGCTGCGGTCGCAAATCGGACTGGTGTCGCAGGAACCGACGTTGTTCGCCACGACCATCAGGGGCAACGTCGCGCACGGGTTGGTCAACACGAGATACGAACACGCCTCGGAAGATGAGAAGTTCGCACTCATCAAGGACGCGTGTGTGAAGGCGAATGCGGACGGGTTTATCTCGAATCTTCCCAACGGATATGACACGGTGGGCAAAGGCTCAATGACCCAACCATTCTCTTTCTCACCTCCTTTTTAGATGGTCGGGGAGCGGGGATTCCTGCTTTCTGGT